AATGTACGTTTTCAAAACACACATAACACATACTTAACAATGGGCATGTTTGTTTGACGACAAAAGAAATTAGAATTTCAGATTAAGTTTTTTGGGTTTTATGCCCATGGCATGCGATGTTCATCATAAGTCACCTGGGTGAGTGGAAGATCAAAGCGCGGGGAATCTACCAGTCTACACCCTTATGAGATCAGCTCATACACCCGGTAGTAAACGGTGGGTAGGGTAAATATTATACACCCGTAATTACACCCAGCTGAATCATGTAGGTTCATATCACTGGACGCGCAGTAAGTGTCCAGACTTTCAAACGTTGTTTGTACTCGTTGTGTGACAAAGACAATTTTCTAGTTCAAAATCAGATTAGAAGGGTTTTGTTAACTGTATGTTGTTGTGCTAGAATATAGCATGGTGACGCGAGAGACGTATTTTCCCATGGCTGTATATGGCCATCTGAAGGTGATTAAATCTGATCAATTGCACAAGAAGACCTGTTGATTTTACGAGGAGCCCTCTCATTGTCCGAGCAACTCTAGTCGAACAAATAGCTACCCGTTGTTCTTTTAAGGTCTGTGTGGGATGATAGTCTTGCGTGTGATAATGATGGGGTCTAAATGAGCCATGTTTTGTTCGATTCACCTCCGTGGTTGGTCGATCGGTCACTATTCAGTTATACCTCACTGACCAATATCCCAAATGGGCGAGATAATTGCCTCTAATTTCTCACTAGCCCCAAATGTCCCCTCATTGACGACACCGACGTCGTCAGCCGTACTAACTGACGGGGGGCCGAGTTCGTGTACATCTACACGACAGTTACATAATGCCACTTTCATCTAATTGACGATCAATTTAGACACATTTGCACCCATGCAAAAATACCCTCTTCTCCCATTCTACAAATACCTTTCGCCAGCCGTTCTCTATACACCATGGCGCTTAGAGGACGTTTGTCATTTATTCAATTATGAATAATTTGATACACATAATACGTCTTAAATAATTGATCTGCTTCATAAAAGTCACGAGCTATCCGTTTCATAAAAATCATATTTCCTAAAAATAAATTAGGTTTATTGAAAATGATGTTTTCGAAAAAATGAAACTGAAGTGTGATTTTTTTCATTAAAAACATATCAAGCTGCAAATGTGCTCATTCGCATATAAAACACGATCCATATTCATGCGTGTGTAAACGATCTGTTTGAGGCACAAATCTATGGGCAAGTGAGTATCTTGAGTTACCTGCCCATGGTACTTCATGTAGACATGCGCACATCGCCGACAGAATCCGTAATGTTTGAAAGGTATTAATGTTTTAAGCAGCTTTTTATACATGCAGAGCAGCTCATACAACTATTTCAACTCGTAAACGGCAAAGCATACACCAAACATGTAAGGGCATTTTTTGTCGCCAGTTCTGTATGTAGATGAAGGTTTTGTGCGTGCACGACGCCAGTGTTCTGTTGAAGCAGGAAATACTATGATCGTTACAAAGAGGTTGATTGTTTTATTGCCTGCTGATTGACATGTTACCCAGGAGTGGTTTCAGGAAGAATAATGCACAAATAAACCTGTCCAAGATGGTCGGTAGCAGAACCAGATCAAAGCCCAACCACTCAACCCTTCGCCAGCAATTTCAAAATTAACAGCTCATTTGCATACAACGGGGTCTAAGACGCATATGTTAAGACGAACATTAAATAAAGCCACGTGCATGTTCATATAACTGATTGAAGAGGTGATAATTTTAAACTATTTCGTCATACAATACACTGACTTGTCTAATGTTTTCTAATGTGAAGACCTGTTACGACGGATTTTTTCTGGTTCACCTGTAAGTGATATTTCATCAAGTATGGCATTCCCTTAGGTTGTCTTATAGTTTGTACCTCTTTGCCATCTTCACATCTCTTTATAGCACAATTGTTATTGAAAATCTGTTTATCACAGGAGAAATCAGTACATTTACAACAGATTTATGAGTAGTCATTGCGTGACAATCTATGAAACCGGAGACAGGATTGTTTTATGGCAGTCGTAACGACATTCGTCAATATGGCGGAAATTACGTCATCAAACACTTCCAGAGTGTTTCACAAGACCCTGCTAATTAGAACAGACATATGTCAAAGGCCTCTGATTCCTACTTTAACTTCAGGTAGAAACAAAGGCCCAGGTGCGATTGTTTAAGCAATAAATACCTGTAAGAAGTACGTGTCGTGACGCGAAGGACACCTGTTATTTCACCGTGGTGAGGGTGCATGTGGGAGTTGTGATGGAATATTAATGTGTACGAGTGTCATGCCGTGACTGTCCGGGCAGACCGCTCGAACACATCCTCCCTCACAGGTGCGGACCAAGGAAAGCGTATAATTCACGCCATCTCGCAAATGACCTTTTAAAGTAATAACGAATAATGAACATGAAAAATCCCTGCTAACAGTATTAATTCTTGGCAATGTCCCACTTTGGGGTTTGGGTTTGCTTTGAAAATCGAGTTTTTAAGACGCTGATAATATTGACAAGGGAAGTGTATTTAGTTGTGCAGCAAGACGCATTGACTGCAGTGTTCGTGTGGTGCAGCACGGTGTATTACGGCGGTTGTCGGGATGCTACACCTGACCGCCCATGGAGCACCCGCTCACCCCACGCCACATCATGGATGACGATGATACTCTGATACACCTTCCCTCATAATGTGACGCTGTGACACCTGTTACACCGCCATGTCCAATCAGACAACCCTCTATCGTTAATGGACAACTCGTATCCTGAACCAGTCGACTCCTACCCATCTCACAATCCCCAATGAATCTACTCTACCCAACCCGACCTTAGACAGGCAACTCTTACCCACTTTGCTACCACCACACAGTCACTCTACCCACCCCGGGTCCTCTAACCAGTCAACTCCTACCTACTTCGCTGCCCACAACCAGTCAATTCTACCCACCCCGGGTCCTCTAACCAGTCAACTCCTACCCACTTCGCTACCCACAACCAGTCAATTCTACCCACCCCGGGTCCTCTAACCAGTTAACTCCTACCCACTTCGCTACCCACAACCAGTCAATTCTACCCACCCCGGGACCTCAGGCAGTAAACTACTCACCCCACTTCCTAATAAGAATGAATGAATGAATGAATGAATGAATGAATGAATGAATGAATGAATGAATGAATGAATGAATTGTTATTTACGTGTAACGCATAAAGTACAAGGTATGTACACATAGATACAAAGATACAACTTGATTATGCAGGGCCGAAGAGACACGATGTAAAACTGTAAAACATACATAATTTCATAAAGGTACGATAACAGTACAGTGATATAGATACATAAAATGATTAAATATGATAAATAAAATAATGACTAGTTTCAACTAGTTGAAATATGCTTTAAAAAATTGCGACTATAAAACATCTTAAAGCAGATTAAACCTGATTTTGATAAGAATGTATTAGATGATAACATAAAATTAAATTTAAAATCTAAAGTATTACAAGTAAAAGATTAGCTATCAACAGTCGCTACATACCATCAGTCCACCACTACCCACCCTCAATCTTGATATCTTTGACGGTGGTTATATTTCAACCCATGAAGCCCAAGAGTCTTTTTATCAACAAATGTTAAGTAAACACTGAAATCAAAATGCAAGGCTACTATTGACTGTATACTGTAGTGGAGGATGCGATCATATAACTTCTGGAATGAAGTCAATATCTTCTCCACAGTCGAGAGGAGACAAACACAACCAAGATGGTGGATAAACTGTTCATGGCGCCATTCCACACGACGAATTGATCACTATAACGAGCTCTCATACATGTCACTGGCTCAATGAAAGTCTCCCTATCTTTATTCGGTAGTTGGGTCCACCATATGACGATTTGAGTCCCTGGACTTGGCGGTGCAGGGCCTGTATTGCACAGGATGTACAGGATGCACCCAATGTGCAGGGTAGCTGCAGTCCCGTTTCTGGTTACACTGATGCTTCTCCTTGGTTTAACCACAATGGACCTTCACAATAGCAACAAAAGTTACCCTATATACTTGTATATAATGTATGTGGATATTGTGTGTCTCGCTGACACAGCCGAGATATTTAGTCACATGAAACCAACTGTGAACTGTCTCAAAGCTGTACTATTGCGGAAACATTCATTTCAAGTTTAGTTTGTCAAATAAAACGAAATGTGTGCGCATTGGTGCGAACAATGTGCTTGTCTACGTCAGTGACTGCACGGGCTTGTACTCTAATTACCCCTCTTCATCTCAAGAGTTCCCTTCCAAGGAAGCAAATGAGGCATGAACACAAGTCCCAATTATTTTGTTATGATTTTGCTAATTGGCTTGCGGTGAAGTTTGTGAGCGACGCGATTCACAGTGTTGTGTTTGATAACTCGTGTGTTAGCTGTTACCCGCAGATGACCTGACCAGTTGGAGGGGTTCGAATCCGCTCCATCGCGCATCTAGTGATGACAGGGGCTACAACCTCTTGAAGCGCCGAGCCGCACTTAAACCGTGTTGACAGACACATTCACCCAACCACTGAACGTGTGACTCACACGGTTATGAAGCGTCAACGAAACATAATCCTGTATGCATGTCTTCATTGAGCTGACACCATCAATACTGTGTTCTCTAGAAATAGTAATATAAATCACAAAAACATGTATCATGCGCTAATCTTTATCCCTACAAAACTCACAGTTAGGTCACATACTTAAGAAATTCGCCCTGATACCAATCTAAATACAAAACGTCATCGCCAGAGAATAACCAGTCTCTATTTCTAGACGAAACAGACTCCGTTGGGGGGAACAATTGCGACGAACGTTTTACGAATGGATCACTGAAACCTGTGATGGCACCAGGTCCTCGCGAACACTATTGGAAGCATCGCCTTGCTTCTGTCCAACAAATATATCATGTTATCTTACAGATACTATCTTACTATTCCATCTCACTGAGAGTATTCTTATTCCAGATCGAAACGCTGACTACAATCAAGTGCGACGGTACCGCACGGCCTTCACAAAAGAGCAGATAACTCGCCTAGAGAAGGAATTCGCCAAGGAGAACTATATCAGCCGCCCGAAACGTTGTGAGCTTGCAGCGTCTATGAATCTGCCCGAGAGTACCATCAAGGTAGGTGTAACATGGAGAACTTGACTCGATGGGCGTAAATAGTTCAGGCCAAATTAAGTAGGCTATGCGAGAGATATGCGTTCGTTCATCTTTGCTTCATTCTGCATATTTCTGATTGTATATTATCTCGTTCTAGGTGTGGTTCCAGAACAGACGAATGAAAGACAAGCGTCAGCGTATGGCCCTGGCATGGCCATATGGCATCCCCCCCAGATCCCCAGTTGTACGCATATCTGGCCGCAGCTGCAGCGACGTATCCATATGGACTTCCGGGTCCTGCGCACATGGGACATCCGGCTCTCTCACTACCAGGTCACTCGGGGTTATCTCCCTTCCATATGCCCGGAGCAATCCAGCACCGACCAGAACTCATGTCATCTGTGAGCACAGCGTTTCACAAACCCCAGACTCTTGTAGATGGACTTCCCGTTAGTGCAGCATCCTCCCTCGGATATTCCTTAAACTTTGGTCACATGTCAGGTGCCAGCCTCCCAGAACACCCGCTCCTGTCATCCGGGCTTTCATTGTCGTTGTCGGGGAAACCCTGCCCATGTCATGGCAGTATAGGACTTCACCCGATATCTGCGCATGTTTCCGGTTTGGTCCCAGGTGCATCAACATCACCTCCATCAGCGAGAAAAAGTGAAATAAATCTATCATAGTATTTGTAGGCAAATACGTGTCATCAATGTGCTTTAAATTGTATAAATCTGACAATCCAGTGTTGGCCTCGTGGTGCTCTGTGCAACTGAAATGTCTTGTTGTGTGTGAGCAATGTAAATGTCAGACTTGGTGCATCTACAGACTGTCAATGTGGAAGATGCACATGGCGCCAAACGAAGACCTATATGCAGAAGATCCATGACCGACGTCCTCGAATGGGCGCCTGACCTCGGTTGAACAGTGTTAGAAGGGCATGGCAGACACGAACGACTGGGCGCCGGCCTTGTCTGAATAGTGATAGCTGCACATTGAAGACCCGTGGAAATACGCACTTACGGTTCCTGCTTCAGGTCGTAAACACTGTTGTTAGGATGTATTCGAACCTTGCCACGACAACGGGAGTGACCACTGGCGTGCAGTCCTACAGAGGTGATACAAGTCTGCCTCCACATCTGTGATAGGTCAGTCGTTGACATTCACCCCCGATCTACTCGACGTTTGTACGTTTCTGCTACGACATTACGTCACCGACTTATGCGCCCCACGGTAAAACTTGCCTCGTTTCAATTATGTAAATACAGAGGTTGTACAGAAAATAAAACAATGCCCAAATCTATCTCATCTTGTCCTGTATCAAACCTTCCTACCGACACCATATAAACCTTTCGTAAAGGTAAAACTGCTGAACAAGCTATCCTTTGATTCTTTGACAGTTTGGTACTTGATCACATGTGACTACAGTCAGACACTGTTCCTAACGAATGGTGCGAATGTTGCGAATGTCAGATTTGAAAGACTCTCCTTCGGGTCTTAGACGAAGCTATTGTGAAGGAATTTCGGTTGAATGAAATCTTTGTGGAGCTGGAGGTACTATTTATGTATCACGGCAGTACATGCCTGCACAGTACAATAGCCATGCAGTAGGGGCGGTAGATGCATCGTACAAATCAACCAGCAATGTATTTGCATTTGCCATCTGTAACCACATCATGTGATAGCCTCATCATTGCTATGAAATTAATACATAATGTAGTGTAGAAAAAGAAATGTAGGTTTTGTCCAAATGATGTCATTTCGGTGCATGGGGCAGAAGTCACCTGAGCTAGTTAACGACATCCATTCCAACATCAAAGATTAGGCAGTTGGTACATACAAGTGAGACGATATGTAATAAAACCCATATCAATAGATGGTTCATTGTGAGAGAGAAGCTACTTTTTCCTTAAAGCTTTATCGGCGGTCCACGGCCATTATCAAAGCAATCATTTTCATCTCCCGCGAGTCGGCAACAATTCCAAAGGCAGATTTATGTTTATCAAAAGCAGTAAATGGATTTTCTATTTATAGATTAAAATTTTGAAAAGGGTGGTATTAGATCAGAGTAAACCGTTCTCCATTAGTACGCCAGTCTAGCGTGACAGCAGCACTAGTTCGGATAAAAGCAGTTGACAATTTAACACTCTTCAACGATTTTCTATAACATTTCTAGAAATCGCAAATTTATCTTTGTGATAAAAAATAGAGAGTATTTATTAAGGACGACCAGCTGCCTGTGTTAAGAGGAAACTCGGTCTTGATTTGCCGTGCGATAAAGCCAATCACTTTTTACATAGGGAAGTGTATCGAGGGTGGTGCCCCGTGCGCGTGCGCAATCACTGCCCACATTCGGCGACCAATGGCGTCTTCCACTATAAAGCCCACTTAAAAAGTTAATCGTTCCGTCAAAATGGTGTCATATTATTTCTCCAGGTCCTTAGTCTTGAGATCTTGTGAGAGGAAGGTGTAAATCAGAAATTGTTGGTATTTCGTATAAGTCAAATATATGGATAAGGTAGTCTTGCAGACGACAATGAAATGTCGAAGCTAAATTTTTAATGGTAATATGAAAACGAGGTTAGATGGTAATATTTTACAGACAATTGTCAATTTTGTGTTTGAAGATCTCCCAAAGTTTGTCAACCGGTAAACAGTACACTTCACGTTGTTGATGACGTCGTTGGGAAGAGGGACAACATCTGGGAAATACACACATGTATTCTGTCACATTTTGTCAAAAGAATTTCAAGACGGGTGCTGGCGGTTTAACCAAAACAATGAACCACTGTGAACACAGAAGGTAGACAACTACTGCAGAGCAAAATATCGATGATGAATTACTTAGGTTGAGATAATGACTCCATCCCCGATGTGGAACAATGCAGGAGGCTTGGCCCTTAGCACAGGGTAGACATTACCTTGTCTACTGTTTTATGGGAAGTAGGATGATCGCTGGAGTCCCACACATCAAAGTCCCCCACCTGCGTCCCCCGTCTCCTTCATCCAGATAGATCCATATATACCTGTACGACACACATCAAAGAAAGCAGACGTCTTTTCGAAAAATTAGAGTGTGACTCCCTCCTGTGTTTTAAGCACTACACGGTGAATGTGATGTAGAGACGAGGCTCCACACCCGGAGATACCGGGGAGGCAATTCAAGAGGATATTTGATAATTTGATCTTTGTCGTTATGCGCTTTATGTGAAGAGGGTTTTTTCTCAAAATAATGCGTTTTGGAAGATTACATATTCTGAATTTCTAAATCCTGGGGAGAATGTTTATTGCTTGTTTTGTGGTAATGATAGAATTCCCGTCTAGTCTTTCAAGCATTAAACTTGTAGGTAGTGTGTTTTATTTCACACATTATGTATAGTCGAGGTAAGTCGACTGCAGGAGTTAGGTTTTCCTTCAGAGATGAATATTTTGATAGATACAAAAAAGACATGAGACCACCCTGTGCTCGAATAAATCCATGTTATTAGCCATATCCGGCCACGCCGTGACTGACTTCAAAACCTAACTACCGGAAACAGTTTGCGTATACAAACTACCTCATCTAATGTGTACCGGGGTTATTCTGACAGAGCGCCATATGTCACTACTCTGCAAGCCTCCGTGTTTCAGTCATGCAAACTCATCCTGCTTAAAGTTGCTGGGTTCTCGTTACCAAGGCAGTGGGAACTTATCGGATATATACTGGCATCATCATCATCGTCGTCGTCGTCGTCGTCTTCATCTTCGTCGTCATCCTTATTATCATCACCTTCTGCTTATTCTGGCGTTAACTTTAGGTACTTCCATACCATTCAAATACACCTGTAGCGTACAGTTGGGTGTAGTTTAACACCGTTTTAAACAGCATGTAAGTCACTTCACGGTATGGGGTAGCTAGAAGTGATGTAGGTTGACGGACCCGCCCTGGACTACATCGAAGTGCCCATTGTTAGTACCCATGTACCTATATAGATGAGAAGGGCTATATGATATGACTGTTATGGTATGCTGCTCGTACTAATATAGGAATGTCAATATCTTAGCGTAACAGCGTATGGTATAAAGATAGCAGTATGTATATCATAATATGCAGTTAGCATTGCTTATATGGTGGTATGAATAAAAGCTTGGTTATATGGCGGTATGAATCAAAGCTTTGTTATATGATGGAATTAATCAAAGCTTGGTTATATGGTGGTATGAATCAAAGCTTGGTTATATGGTGGTATGAATCAAAGCTTGGTTATATGGTGGTATGAATCAAAGCTTGGTTATATGATGGTATTAATCAAAGCTTGGTTACATGGTGGTATGAATCAAAGCTTTGTTATATGATGGTATTAATCAGAGCTTGGTTATATGGTGGTATGAATCAAAGCTTGGTTATATGGTGGTATGAATCAAAGCTTTGTTATATGATGGTATGAATCAAAGCTTTGTTATATGGTGGTATGAATCAAAGCTTGGTTATATGGTGGTATGAATCAAAGCTTGGTTTTATGGTGGTATGAATCAAAGCTTGGTTATATGGTGGTATGAATCAAAGCTTTGTTATATGGTGGTATGAATCAAAGCTTTGTTATATGGTGGTATTAATCAAAGCTTGGTTATATGGTGGTATGAATCAAAGCTTGGTTATATGGTGGTATGAATCAAAGCTTGGTTATATGGTGGTATGAATCAAAGCTTGGTTATATGGTGGTATGAATCAAAGCTTGGTTATATGGTGGTATGAATCAAAGCTTGGTTATATGGTGGTATGAATCAAAGCTTGGTTATATGGTGGTATGAATCAAAGCTTGGTTATATGGTGGTATGAATCAAAGCTTGGTTATATGGTGGTATGAATCAAAGCTTGGTTTTATGGTGGTATGAATCAAAGCTTGGTTATATGGTGGTATGAATCAAAGCTTGGTTATATGGTGGTATAAATCAAAGCTTGGTTATATGGTGGTATGAATCAAAGCTTGGTTATATGGCGGTATGAATCAAAGCTTGGTTATATGGTGGTATGAATCAAAGCTTGGTTATATGGTGGTATGAATCAAAGCTTGGTTATATGGTGGTATGAATCAAAGCTTGGTTATATGGTGGTATGAATCAAAGCTTGGTTATATGGTGGTATGAATCAAAGCTTGGTTATATGGTGGTATGAATCAAAGCTTGGTTACATGGTGGTATGAATCAAAGCTTGGTTATATGGTGGTATGAATCAAAGCTTGGTTATATGGTGGTATGAATCAAAGCTTGGTTATATGGTGGTATGAATCAAAGCTTGGTTATATGGTGGTGTGAATCGAATCTTGGTTATGTGGTGGTATGAATCAAATCTTGGTTATATGGTGCTATGAATCAAATCTTGGTTACATGGTTATATGAATCAAATCTTGGTTACATGGTGCTATGAATCAAATCTTGGTTACATGGTGGTATGAATCAAATATTGGTTATATGGTAATATGATAATCTGTTATTCACAAACCTGTTAATTAGGAGAAATTATGTTTTGTGCAGCTGCTCATCAGTAACTGCCTTTCTGGATGTCAACTAACATTATGAAGGACTGTACAGGAAGCAAGATCAGGGTGGTGTCAGTGCAAGAATGTACGTGCACACCGAATCCAACCAGGCAGGGGTAGAAAACTGAACAGAACACAACATAAGCTTTAGATGAACTCGTGAATAATGACGAATAATGATCCATATAAATCAAAAACGTCGAGCACAATGCAATTTCGGACTTGATAATATCGTAAATTAACTGACTTGATAATAACGCCAAATGAAAACATACTTGGCTGTACCCGTCCTTTCGTATTCGTAAAATAATTCAGGGTGTTGATACCCTCTCACGAAGAATCATATCAGACAAATGATCACAGCACCCTCCCTTTTACCTCTATGGCGTATGTGTACCAACAATCGAGAAGTGGCTTTGAATAACGTTGAGACTCTTCATGTACATAACTTCTGTACACATGTATTGGTCTCATGACGCTCCCGTGATGTCAAAGGCTCATGATGTCAAGGCTCATGATGTCAAAGGCTCGTGATGTCAAGGTTCATGATGTCAAGGCCTGTGATGTCAAGGCTCGTGATGTCAAGGCTCATGATGTCAAGGCTCATGATGTCAAGACTCGTGATGTCAAGGCTCGTGATGTCAAGGCTCATGATGTCAAGGCTCGTGATGTCAAGGCTCGTGATGTCAAGGCTCATGATGTCAAGGCTCGTGATGGCAAGGCTCGTGATGTCAAGGCTCATGATGTCAAGGCTCATGATGAAAACAAGGCACTCCACGACTTA